CCTTCCTCCAGGTCATTGATGAATATATTGAACAAGACTGGACCCAGCACTGACCCCTGGGGGACACCACTAGCCACAGGCCTCCAACTTGACTCTGCGCCATTCACCACAACCCTCTGAGCTCGGCCATCCAGCCAGTTCTCAAGCCACCTCACCGTCCACTCATCTAGCCCACACTTCCTGAGCTTACCTAGGAGGATGTGATGGGAGACAGTGTCCAAAGCCTGGCTGAAGTCCACACAGACAACAGCCACTGCTCTCCCCTCATCTACCCAGCCAGCCATTCCGTCATAGAAGGCTATCAGATTGGTCAAGCATGATTTCCCTTGGGTGAATCCATGCTGAACACTCCTGATCACCTTCTTGTCCTCCAGATGCTTAGTGATGACCTTCAGGATGAGCTGTTCCATCACCTTTCCAGGGATGGAGGTGAGGCTGAGAGGCCTGTAGTTTCCTGGCTCCTCCTTCTTGCCCTTTTGGAAGACTGGCGTGACATTGGCTTTCTTCCAGTCCTCAGGCACCTCTCCTGATTGGCATGACCTTTCAAAGATGATGGAGAGACAGTAAATTTGGTCCCAGTTTTTGACTGGGGGTTGATCAGATGACATCATGAGGTCTTTTCCAACCCAAATTTCTATGAAGTATACACACAAGTTTTAAAAATACCTTAAGTTAACATTCAGCGCAGTACATCCCAAATCCAAAGATTATATTCAAAAGCAGAATTACTGTCAAAATGAAGTACTTTCTAAAAGTGTATTACCTTCCTTTTTTCTTTTTCTCCCATCAGGACCAGTATGTCTTCCTAAACCAATGCGTTATGGATATAATTAGATCCCAGAAAGACAAAAAAGCAGATCTTATTTACCAAAACATGACAGCAATGGCAATCTACGAAAATTTCACACCTGGGCCAGGCTTTGGGAAGGCCAATGGCTACCACGCATAGCCTGGAAGGATGGCAGTGTCTCCAGGAGGTGTTCTCTGCGTGTAGGAAAGGGAACTGTTCCATTCTTGTTTTCCAGGATTGTGTTTCATGTCTGGTTTTCTCCAGTTCTGTACAACTGATTTGAAGACGTGATCTACAGGAGGAAAAAAACCAATGCTGGCAGGAGCCACAGGTCGATATAAAAAGAAACTATTTAAAGTTAACAGAGGAATTTTGCTTTTTCCTGGGAATTTAACAGTACTGATAGGTGAAATCGCATTTGCAGTACAGATGGTGAACTAGAATTTAAATATTAAAATAATAACACAGGCTTTTTATTACAATTTTATATGATTTCATTTACAGACACCAAGCTTGTGGGCTATTTTAATATATTTAATTATTAGTTTCAGGAACATATTTTATCTACTGTATCTGGTTACTTAGCTAATAGATATGTGCCTCTGATTTTTTCTGAGTGTTCCTTTTTATTTAAAAAAGGAGTACAAACACCTCCTCCAAATGGACATTTACACTTGGAAATTGTGCCTTTTCTAGTTGCTACTCTAGAAAAAAACAGCAGAGATTCTATTTTTGTACTGAAACTCTTAATGAGAACACAGATTTTTAAATAAGGCTTGTGTCAAACTTATAACTGTAGTTGCACTGTTGGCAGGACTGTCCAGAAGTTTGGAGGTCAGCTTTGTTTTTGCTTTTCACCACAAATATCCCCTGCCTTAATATTTTGGTGCCTCTACGAGAGGAAAAGGAGTGTGGTGTGTCACTCTGAGCTTTAACTGTAGGAAAAAACTGAGCAAGTGAGTCTGCATCTGTGCATGCAGGGGTGTGTATATGAAGGATGGAATAGCTCCTCCCTGTTCTTGGCTGATAACTCCTGTTTTTACACAGTTTGTAATGATTTATTTAAAGGTGCAATATATGATTTACTGAATAATGATTGCTCTATTCTAATAGAGTTTTACTCAGGTTGGTGTCTTTTTATCATTGTTGTTGTTTTTCGTCAAATGTATAAATCTGTGAAAATATTGAACTGAGGTTCCAAGTATCCAAGCACTCCCAAACAGATTGACTGGCTTTACTCTTTCTACCAAAACAAATTGCACAAAGTTCTGCTGTAAATACCGATTTCGTGGTTGTCTTAGCCATTCAAAGCTGAGACACATCTTACCTGACTGCATCTCATTGATCTAATGTAATTGTTTTATAATTGTTTGCAATGTACTGCTGCTGTTATTTTAACTGGTCCTTTTTAAAACAGAACAAACAGAAAAACCCTGGATGCTAATTTTACAAGTTGAGGATTAATTTGGATTTATTTTACTGGTACATCACTGCTAGACTCATGAAGGCATTACCAATGAAGGACTTATGAAGTAGTTTTTGCAGGGGGGGATAGAAGGGGAGTTGTTTTTTGGTCTTTGGATCTTTGCACTGGTTGCATTGTAGAAGCGTATGAAGTTTATGAATAATGCTATAGAATAGCTATAAAATGGTGAAAATCTTTTGAAGGTTTAATAACCAGAGTCCCTGGAATTCTGCTGCTTTTTTTTTTTATTTTTATTTTTTTTGTTTTTTAGCAGAGTTGTCAGAAACTAGCTACAAATACTAGGAATATATGTGGCATTACAGTGGGAGCTGCAACCTTCTAGAATCCACTGTGAGCTGAAGAATATCTAGGAATTCCTGGTGCACAGCTGTAACTTTACAGATAACCAGAGGAATTTCTTCCATCCTGGTGTGAAATTGCGGTGTGCCGCGTGAGCAAAACTGGAGGACAAACCACAATGCGCTTCAGCTTTTTCTTTTTTTCTTTTTTTCTCCTTATTTTGTAACAGCCACTTTCTCTGAAATACTTAAACACAAGAGATTAATGACCCACCTGAGGCGCTCCTCGATGGCGGTCCATGCGGTGGATCTTTCGCCCTACGTCCTTCTAAGCTGCTGTCAAATGACAAAGACAAACCACTCGGACCAAACAAAACCATTCCAAAGGACTTGGAAGGGAGGAAAGCCCACCCCTTACAGTCATGTTATATTTCTTTTTTTAATCTTCAAAGTACTACACTTCTGTGCAGAGCGCAGAGCCAGAATTTATTATTCCTGGTCTCCCAGGAATTGGCTGCCTTAGGGTAGCAAATGCTCCCTTGCTTCGGAAGGCCCTCGTTTTATTCACTGCAGAAGAGTGGGAGATGCATCTTCTACTCTAGATTGTGCATCTTCAGTATATTGGAGCAGAACATCAAGCTAGCGTGGGGTTTCTGCCTAGCCACCACGCAGGTACTGTTGCAGAAAACCAACATCTGTGCCATAACTTTCATGTTGGAAACTGACTGCACCAAAGTCTTGCTTGTCCTCATCACCCGAGGAGTATCCGTTTTTAACGCAGGTGCATCCATTTGAACACTTCTACCATTTCCCAAAACTCAATTGTTGTGGAGAGAGACTGAAGTTTGAACTAAATGGCCTGCTAATCCTATGAATAGGTGGAAGAAGTTGATAAAGGTTAAAATGTTGAAAACATAACATTGGCAATAGCATCAGTGTGAGTAACTAGAACAGGCCTGGTAGCGTCCTTCCTGCAGGGAAGGATGGACATCTGCCAAGGAATGCTCTGTCGTCTCACAGATCCCTTTTGGCTAAGGCGATGTGAATCCCTGCCGGCATTTCTCACCTGATCTCTTCTCTTCTCAGTGTTGTGATTGCTGAGATCTGTCTCTCTCTTTGGTCAGTGTTTTCCCTTGCTGTCACTTTAACCTAAAGTTATCCATTTTCTAGGCTCAAAACTCTGCTGTGCTCCAATTAGATCTCCTGTGTTCCTCTTTTACTCTTTTTCCCATTTGGGGCCTGCTTAAGAAGGGAAAAGTTGATGTGTTTCAAATAAGTGACTGTTAATTGAATATCTTGAAATGATGTACAAATTTTATTGTTTTCATATTTGTTGTACAGGAAATTTCAGCACATGTCTATAATATTTTTAATGGTTTAATTTGTTTTTAAAGATATAAAAATAACAATTAAAAAGCATCATCCTAGAGCACTTGCTGTCTCATTTCCTTTCTTAGGGTTTTTCTTTTCTGTTCCTTTTGAGTAAAATTAATTCTCCAAATACTCATTTAGTATAGAAGGGCTTTGGAGTTGATAAGGGAAGGGGGCTCTCATCCTCTCAGGTGGTACTTGGGTTTGCATTTCAGTCACTGGGGCCCCTTGCAAGGGTATAATGTGTCACTGAGAATTGCGTGGCAGGTCCAGGACCTGATGCCAAGGTATCCTGGCAATGGAGTGCAATCTGCCGCAGGGAGGCTTTGGGGAAGCAAGATCCCTTGCTTCTCTCCTCAATTCACATAGGTATGTTGTTTGAAATGCTTAAACTTTTGTGAAGGAAAGTCTTCTGGCCGTCTTTGGAGACCACAGGATGTGTGAAAGCCACCCAGAGTTATGTGTTGATATGACTGCTGCTATTTTAGCTATGCACAGATTTTAAGAGGTGGAGAATTACTGTAGAAGTTAGTGCCATTTTATGATCTGCTATCAGATGTCTTTCAAAAGTTACGCTTAATATGTTAGTTCTTCTCACAAACGCCATTCACATTTATTAAACAGGTCTGACTGGATGACAGCATTTCATCTGGCAGAAAATGCCTTTTATTTTTGCGTGCTAGCTTGAGCTAGGACAGCACGGTCAGGTCCGCACTGCACGATGGCAGTGTGGACTACCGCAGCACAATACCACTCATACATGTTCTTCAGTGCTGTGATCCTTGAAATATTTCTGCATCTCTTGATTTCAATGAAAACCAGTATCTTCTGCCTGGTCTTGCAGATATTTCTTGCAGGCAGGAGTTGGTTCAGCCTTACAAAGTGTTAGTATCCTGCTTGACTAGAGAGCCAGTATATCTGGAGATCACCTGCGGTATCTGGTCCTGTCATTCGTTAGATTTCCTACCTTTGAGACAGAGAGGTGGAGGTCAGAGAGGGAGGAGAAGGAGGCAGTACCGTTTCTGTCCAATTTTTTACTTGTTGGACATGATACAGCGAGAAATACTGCCACTCTTGGATGCTTTTTCTGGGTAGGCCTCTGCTAGGGGTGACCTATCTCCTGCATTTCTTAGCAAAAAAACTTCCACATGGTGATGCTAAATTTTTTTTTTTTTCAGGTCAATGAAAATTTCTCTATCCCTATTAGTTTGCAGCCATTTATATTTCAGGCTAGGGCCTGTGCCCCATTCAGTAAAAGCATGTCAAAACTTGCTTTTGAAGGGAGGGATTTTCTCTCAGTCCCACAAATCTCCCCCATAACCTACAAGAAAATTCCAAAGAGGAAAGATGGGCTTTGGTACATACCTTAAAATACTCGAGTTGCTGGGGGACAAGGAGGAAGGCGTGAGCAGGTAGATGGGATGTGTATGACGGTCAAGAAAACATGCATGAAACTTTAAAGAAGCTATAGGAGATTTTTGGACTTTTTGGTTTTTTTTAATCTGGCAGGTCTTGAACTTGGCATTTCCAGCGTTGGGCTTGTCCTACCAGAAGGAAAATGAGCTCTACGGGAAAGGCTGCTCTAATGTGAGCTCTCACTAAGGTACGAATCCACCCAAAGGGTCACTGCAAGAAAATACAGCCCCTTCATTTCGGGCTCCAGCCTCCAGGTGGCACCTGGTACCGTTATTCTTTCTGGAGGAAGCACTAGCTGGTCGTGGGCCCTCTTTTCACAAGCTTCCCAGCTTCTGGTGACCTCCCTCATGCCCCTGCTGGCCTGGGGAGCTGCTCCAGTGCTGACTGGGTCCAAGCCACCCGGTTTGACTAAAATGTCTGCAAAATAGGGTTTGCGGTGTTCACCACAGTGAAGCTATAGATATTTTCAGTTTTCCAGCCCACTGCCAGCAACTGGTCATGTTATTCCTGTTAAGACTGTTGTTGTTACAATTTGGTAGTTTGAAGACTAACATTTTTAGATTTTAGAAAGCACTGCCTTTATAAAAAAAAAGCCACCAAGCAAACATCTGAACAGTTCCATGGTGCTTGGAAAAAAGCTTTCTTCAGAATTTCTTTCCATTTTATTTTTCATCACTTGGACTTTTTTAATAAGTAATTTAAAGCAAGGATGACCATTGCTTGTTTCAATCAAGAGTTAAGAGTGTACTCCATTTTTCTCCCTTAAACGTGTTTTGTACTCAAGGGGACTGAAATACTGAGAAATTCAAAGATTTCTCTGCCTTCCCAAGTGCCCGGCATGTGCATCTCCCATGCCAGGTGCTCTTCCAGGGAGTTTCTGTTTGTACCAACAGGGAAATAATCAAAGTACCTTGAAAGTACCTTGCCTTTTTTTTTTTTTTTTTTGGAACAGAATTAAGCATGCAGTTAGAAAATGATGGGTCACAGACCAGAGAATCTAAATAGTCACAGACCAGGTGACCTAAATATAGGTGGATGTCAGTCAGTAATATCCCTTCAAACTTTCTGCAGACGGTAACCTGAG